TTTATTGCAGACATCCTTCCTGACCTTGCATGCAGGTTCTCAGCTGGGTGCAACCTGGGTGTGCTGCCGCTCCCATCAATGCAGCCATAAAACTGGGCTGGAGCTCGCCCCGACTCTCACCCCACCGTGAACAACCAAGATGTGATTGCGGTGTTTTTCTTCCTTGCAGTTCGTCACCATTTTGGAAGGAGTCCTGGCCAAGCTGTCCAGATACGATGAAGGGACTTTGTTTTCCTCTTTCCTGTCGTTTACTGTAAGTAGAGAAAATCCGTTCCCTTTTCCTTGGCCAACTTTCCCTTGTTAACCCTTGCAAGTCTTGAAAGAGATGCTAGCCCCGTCCTCCTGTGCTGTCTTAGCACTGCAAGCGCTCCAGAGATAAACAACCAACCTGCTTTAAACAACCTGCTGCCAGGAAATGTCCCTTGGATCTGGCTCACGGTGCTGGAATGGAGTCTAAAGATTCTAGGCATAGAAACGTATGGGGGGAGAGAGGGAATTATCCTGGTTTTCTAATAATTGCACAAAAAGGCCCGTTTGCGACAGTCCCCTGAAAATGGACCCCACCAAATTTTCAAGGATATCTATGTGCACGTTCAAACCCTCTCGCTCATTTGGGCTCAAAACTGGGTACTTCTACTCACCGGCAGGCTTTTTTTTTTGCATCTCTGTGCCTGAATAATTGTGAGTGCGCGTTCTGGAAACTTAAATGTGTGCAGAGCAATGTTCTGCGCCTTGCTCTGAATAGCTGCAGCACCGTAGGTGAGATTGTTACCAGTGCAAGTGGTGGGCAGGCAGAGAAGGTCCTTCTGTTTGTTGGAGAAACGTCTTCCTAGGATGGCTTAGACAGGGGTGGCCCTGCTTTGAGCCGGGGCTTGCAGCAGATGGAGAGGAGAGGTCCCTGTGCCTGCCTGTGTCGCACTCACTAGCACCATAATGGAGAGTGCACAGAAGGGGTTGTGCTGAGTGCAGTTCTGCATTATAAGTGGTCCAGTGCCTTGTGGGGAAACTGTGGTAATGGTCTGAATTGCACAAAGGAGGAAGAAGTCATCCAGCTCCTCCTCTCCTGGGCTGCAGGAGATGGTTCAGGTTCGGATGTCGTGTCTCGGTCCCAGCCTTCTTCCGGGTTGAGTTTCTGACAGCTTCATGCCAAGGAGGACAGCATGCAGCTCTCCCCACCTCCATCTCTGGCTCCCCTGCCATTACGAGACCATGCAGTGTTGTGGCTGCAAAGACATGCGGCTGCTTGCCAACTGGCTGTGGCCTACATGCTCGGCATGCCTGTTTTCCCACGTTCCCTTACCCCACGTGTCATCCCCGCCACCTCCTCCTGAATCCCCAGCACTAAAGCTGAGGGTGGTGCTTAGCCCTTAGATCCTCTCTTGAGCAAAAGAGGGCTGGAGGGCAGAGGCTGGCTGCCTTCCTGCCAGTTAGCATACCATCGGGAAGAGGATGAGTGTGCTCATGTGCTAGCACCAGAGGATGTGGGGGCGGCAGCTTTTCAGGCATCAGAAGTGCCAGCATCAGCCCGGGAAGACGGCACACTGCGCAGTTCTTCCTCCGGTGTGAGCCAAGCTGTTCCTCTGTGGCGGCTGCGCACCGTGCTCCACATCATGGTGTTTGCACCGAGGGCCAGGGCCCGGGCTGCTCCCTTCCATGCTGGGACACACAAATCCCTACGTCTGCACGTGGATCGTGGAGACCCCGGGGTTGTGGCCAAGCAGCTGCAACTTTTTTAAGCTTTGGGATAATGGCAGGGTGGGGGCAGCCTTCGTAGCTGCTGCTCCAAGGTGGTCAAGCCCCAGATCGTATTACCCCCAGCCTAGCTTAACCCACCCACTTAAGACTAAAGCTCATGGCAAGTGGATGCATGTGGAAACCACCAAACCTCATAGGGGGGCTCAGGTCTCCCCACAAGTCCGACCCGCTGGTACACAAGAGGAAGGTTGGTGCTAGATCTGCAGAGGAAGGGCAAATGCCCAGCTTTTTGGGGGGTCAGAAGCACCCCCTGATCATACTCGCACCCCCCTCATATGTCTCCCAGCTGCCAGGGTGTTACATAGCTGTTGCACCCCACCTGTCACCATGAAACCCTCTTTCAGTGGATAGCAGATATGCCTTCTGCATCCACCAAGAGTTGCACGGTGTCTGGACAGAAAGTCTCGTTCCTGCCCCCACAGGTGATCAAATAACTCAATGAACATTCATGGCTTGATCAAGCAATAGAAATGGCAGGCTCAGCCCTAACCCCAGCAGGCTTATAGCTTGGAGCATACCTGCCTGGTCGGTGGATGTAGGATGCAGGGAAAGATGCCATATGTGCACCAGCCAGCCACCAAGAAAGAATGAAGGCAGATGAATAATTCCCAAACTTCATGTTTCCAAGGGTATAATGTCCATTCGAGCACAGTGAGGTGGGTTGGGGATTAGCTACGGGGCTCCTGAGCAGAACACAAACCTTGTGGCTGCAGGTAGCGACCCCAGTGAGAGGGATAGGGAGTGCCCTGGGTACCCGCAGTTGTGGGAAAGGACACTGGTCAGCCCTAGTGCATCCAGGGGACAGGGATGCTCTGGCCAGGAGCTGATGGCAGGGGCTGGGGTGGAGTTGGCTGCATGTACTGGAAAGCCCCGGGGCCAAGCGGAAACCACCAGCCTGGGAGAAAGGAGGTGCCACCTGGGCTGGTTTGGGCTCTGATTGAGGACGGTGCTGTGACTGATACGGCATCCTGAGGAGGTTGGCTTCCCTGGCCTGGGGTTTGGAAAGTGGGGAAGCACCTTCTTGAAACTCCAAATCCTGAGCCAGGGAGAAGCAAAGCGGGGAAGCGCTGTCTTGAGACTGCTTCTCCTTCCCCTCCGGACATATCAATGCCCAGCTCTGCACAGCACCTAGCACTCCCGCACGCTGACGCTTCTCTGCTTCCATCGTGGGGGAAAGGCGGACCTGAGCTGTATCCTCGAAGGCATGGGACAGGCCAGGGTCTTCCCTTTGCCCTCTAATGGCAGTAAATACTTCCACGTGGAGGTCACCAGGTCCCCCCGCCCCTGTGGCAGGCTGCTCAGAGAGTCTCACTGAGCCATACAGATTCCCGGGGTAGTTGTGCAGTTTTTCTGTGTTTAGCATTTGCAGTGATAAATAGAGAAACTCTCCCTCGTTACAGAACGGTTGCGCCACCTCCCACGTTTTCCCTGTCTGAACAAATAAAGCACAGTGTTATGGTCCAAGCCTTTTAATTCTAGGAAGCACTAATCTTCCCACCCCCTTCTCCTGACTCCTTTCATCGCATGCTTTCCAGTCTCTGGGAAAATGACATGTAGTTGGGGGTCTTGTGACAGACAATTTTATCACCTAGTAGGAAATCCTCATTTTCAGTTCCTGCCTTGAAATTCGAGATAAAATTAATGCATCTGTTGCCCTAATAAAGTTCTCACTAGCCACTTCATTATAAAGCACTTCAAAATGAAAATACCCTTCTAAATGTGGCTATATACACATATGTATCTATATATACACACAGATAGATAGATAGATAGATAGATAGATAGATAGATAGATAGATAGATAGATAGATAGATAGGTGAGGCGTTCTCAGTAACAGCAGTCCAGTGATAAGATGGGCATCTGTCTCTGAAGGACCACTGAGTCACAAGAAATGCCAGCTGCTCAGGGTTTTATTTAATGGAGATGGCCCCTCTCTTTGAACAGCAAAGAATTGCATCTACTTTCATTAAAACTGGAGCAGGAATATCACCCCAGGGAGAGATGCAAAAGATCTTATTTTTGTTCTGCACAACATTTTTTATGGTAAACTGAGATATTTCATGGAAGTCTCGTAATTTGTGAAAAACTGCAGCCTAGCAAAAATCACACAACATCCGGCAGTTTGGAAATTTCACTGAATGTAGCCAAATCTTACTTTAAGGAAAAACAAGTAATTATTCATATTGGTTTTGGAAAAAAAATGAAAGGGGAAAAAAAAAAAGGAAAAGCAGCTTAGTTTTTGTGGGTGGAGAAGGGGGACTGCAGAAAGTAGGCTGAAGTTGTTTCGTTGCCGCTTTCCTTAATGCAGGGGGCTGCCCCATTGGTTCTGGGGGTAGCCTACGACTTGGAGGACCTGAGTTCAAAACCCTGGTCCTCTGTAGACTTCCTGTGACTACGAACTGCTCCCTTGCCCCCCAAGTGAGTGGCAAAGCTTCAGTTGCCTCCTGGGCTGCCAAGGGAAAGCAGAAGTCAGTCACACCTCTGCAGACAATGTTCAAGGACTGAAAATTTGACCTGTTGTTTTTGGCACTTCCCTGATCAAGGGTGATGGGCTGCACTAGCACGGGATCAAGCTCCTCAGTTCCCCCTCTGTAAAATGGGAACATTCTCCCTTCCCTCACCCAGAGGGATGCTGTGAGGATCGCTTGCCAGGAAGATTGTGAGGTGTGCGGGTACCACAGAAAGGAGAGCCTGATGCACACCTCAAACACAGAGAGGTTTATTTTTGCATGACCTCTCTTTGAGTTTGCTGGCATGGACTTTAATCATGTTTCAGCCCTTACTAAGTCCTTCCCCCTGTTTGAAGGCCAGAGCGGTCCCCGCCTCTGACCTCCCATTTGACACAGACCCTTGCACCATCGATCTGGTATCGAGCCCACGTAAATGTGCAGCTCAGCCAGATGTTGAACATTGCTCTTGAAGCCTCTGGGTGAGGAGGCTGTTTTGCCCCCACTGAGATCCCAGGCCTGTCCTTGCATTCGTGTCTCCCTCGATCCAGACCCCCCTCGAGTCCCAAGAGTGTCTACCAGCCCCCTGCTGTCTTTCACTCCAGTTCAGGGGCCTTATTGCTGGAAACACTCAAAATATGAACCTCAGCCATTACCACCAGTCTGTAATTTTTTTTTTTTTTGCATTGCCTCATTGTGCTTAATTATTCACCCCCACACATGCAGCATACGAGCACATCCACCCACTCTCACATTCTGTCTCACACATACATTCATCCTCTCATTCGGGACACATAATTTATTCATCCTGAGATGCAATTGTGAGCGTGTTATATTTAGGCTGCTTTAATGGTAGCTTTAGAAATATTTAAAAGCAGGTGAGCTTTTTACACCCAAACAAAGATGGCGAGTTGCGCGTCTCCTAATTAGAAAGCAGAAGCCACGAGGAAGCGCTTTGCCGAGAGCCTTATGCTGCTGTTGTAAAGAGGTCTCCCTGCCCACCTGGAAACAGCCCAGTTTGGAAAGGCGAACCTGCAACTCCCATCCCAGGTGCAGCTAACAGCATGGTCTGCCCAGGGAGGAAGTGCCTTGGGTCTGACAGCTGCAGAATCGGGAATCCAGACCGCCCCCAAATATTGTCAGTCCATGTGATCCTGAACCCTTCGCATCTGTCAAGGCTGCCCTTGGTTATAAGCAGAGGCCTCTGCAGTCTGTAAGCTTGGGGCTGAGCCTCTCATTCCTCCCAGTACCATGACCAAAGGTAATCTCACTACCAGAGCCCTTCTCCAGCAACCCAACCAGAGTGGAAGAGCTCCAGTGTCCCCTCTCAGCAGCTTGGGAGCCTTGCAAAAAGGCCAGTGCCGCCGTCTGTTCATGTTGCCAGGTCAAAACTGCAGTGTAAAAGATGCCAAAGGTCCTGCTGACAGAGCAAGCCAGCTCAGATGAGAATAAACCCTACTGAGTGAGCTGGGACCCTGGCTGGGAGCCCTGTAGCTGGAGCAGCTCTGGGCATGTACCCGACAGGTGGATAGTGGAGAGCCTTTAGGTACTGTAGTAGCTGTACATCCACTTTTGTCTAAAGTGTCTTCTCTCTTCTTTTTTTCCCCGCCCCTTTCCAGGTGAAGGCAGCTTCCAAATACGTGGACGTACCCGTAAGCACAATTTAAGCATTGCTTTCTGTGGGAACAATTTGCCTTGTGTTTTGGTTGAATGCATATCTGTCCATCATGGTTGAATGAATACTAATAGCTCTCCATCATGGGTTGTCAGCCAGGGCTGGACCCAGGTATGCCTACACAGATCATTGGAGGCCGCCTTGAGGTCACCCTACAGACCATCCCTCCAGCCAGGTATACTGGGTGCCTTTAAGCCCAACTCCCACCAGCAATCCCACCGAGCCAGGAAGGTTTGTTAAACTCTGGGTAAGGGGCCAGCCTCATCCCACTCACCTCCTATCCTGTGTTTGGAAGCTACTTCATCATGCAAGCCTTGAACAGAAGTCCACCACCAGCAATCCCGCCGTCCTGTTTTCCTGACGTCCAGCCCTTCTGCATGCACATCTCCCTCTCCTGCCTAAGTTGAGCCCAGAAGGAGAGACAAGTAGTTCACAGACAGAGTCCTAGAAAAGCCACAGAAGAAGGAGACCTCTTAGTACCAGGCTCAAGAAATAAGCACAGTCTGGATGGGTTTCATGTGCCCCCCAATGTATGGCATCGGTGGGAAAGAACAGCTCATAGCACAAGGGTAGCCTCAAAGTCAGCCCTAAATATCTGTGTAGACATACCCCTCAGGGGTAAGAGCATAGTAGTCTAACACTAGGGGTAAAAAAAGGAATTAACTTCATTAGTGGATGTCCGTGATAAGTGCTGCTTCTCCTGCAGGGAGACCTGCAAGCTAGGCACGGATACTTAACCAGTGGGCTATTCATGGGGTTGAATGGGTCTCCTATGTACCTAGGGAGCTTCGATCCCTGTGGAAAATTAATAACAGTCCCTCCTATAATTGTTTTTCATTGGCACTTTCTAGGATAACACAGCATCATCTGGAAAAGTCCAGACCGTGCCCAAACGGCACCAGTACCTGCCTAATCTATTTTATTTTTATTCTTCTAATTGTTGATGTACTTTACTCTTTCAGAAAGCAACTTTCATTTTAACTGTAGGGAAAAGGTGGTGAGTGCTGTATACTTGTCAAAGAGTTTTGATGAAAAGACAAAAATAACCATGTTTTTCATCTTTGCAGTCGTTAAAGGGAAACTGTACCTCAGTTCCTCTAATTAGAGCTTGACTCATAAGGATGAGGGCCCTTCAGGTCCTTAGACAAAGCACTTAGGATGCCACAAATTTACATTTAAATTGAGTTTAAGTGCAGTATATGAATGTTGGCTGGAGTAAGGGATTACAACCGATAAACCAGGGTAGGTATGCAGGCAGATTCTGAGGACATCTAAATAAAAAAATGAGCAGACTGAAATATCCCAGTCCAAATTTTGCCCCCACCCCGTCAGACCACTGCAGACCCCGCTGGAGCTGATGAGATAGACACGTGAAGCCAGAGGTCTCCCAAGGCTTTCCCAGCCAGGACTTGGGGAGGTCCAGTTTAGGACCTGGTTTTCTTGGCATCTAGACACCTCGCTCTATAGCGGAGGCTTCTCATTGCCTCTACTTTCCTGAAGCCCGGAGTAAATTATTTAGAGCCTGTGGGCCTGATTCCTGGTGAAACTCTATTCACTTCAGTGGAAGCAGTGCTCATTTACGCCTGTTTGAGTGGGAGCTTCTTCCCACCCCGTACAATATCCCGCACTTCGCTGGGAGCCGGGTTCGGCGCATCCTCAGCGGTGAACCAGCAAAGCGTCAAGAAAAGCTGGTTTGATGATGGGCTCCCTCTCTAGAGGAAAGGGGCGATGTCCCACTGTTGAACGGACGACCCCTGCTTAAGTCCCATTCCAGAGACAGGATTGTTTTGTATCAGAAAATTGCAACTCTTTTAGTGCCACCTTGAAACGGGCACAGTCGGTTTCCTGAAAATTGCCTGAAAGTATAACGCTTGACTATTGCCACGTTTGTGTTGTCCTCATTGTTTTTCAAATTAATACCTTGTCATTGTTTCAGTAGGTGTTAAGAAATGTTACTAGCATCCCAAGGGCCAAGCACCGGCCTTTTGCTTGATAATTGTTTGCTTTGTATTAAAAAAAGCTACCTTCCTACTGCTTTCCAAACTGTCCTCATTTTCACCCTGGAAATTACACAGAAGTGTTAACTAACTTCAATTTGCAGCGGCTGACAATCACGTCTTGTAGAGAAACGATACTTTGTGATCTGAGGTAAATCACAGTAATGAAAACTAATGACACTAGTTATTAACAAACTTACAATGTGCCATGGAAATTTTAGATTTTGTGGCAGCTCTTGTAATGACTCATGTTGTAGTATTTTAATGGGTTTCCTTTGAGATAACTTTGATTTCAGCATATCAAGCAGTGTGAACTCAAGGGATTGTATAGTGTATTTTCCTCTGTCTACTACAGTAAGCTGAGAAAATAGCAACATGATCACCGTCTTCCACAAATGTAACGCTCAGGTTTAAAAAGCATGAATATATAGAGAGATATAAACCAGCACAATTATAGATAAGGGCATCCGAGAAGCTTAGCACTGACGCAGACATTCGCATGGGCAGTTTGGGGAAATCTGATTTCTGACTGCATTCATTTATTTTACACCAGAAAGCTATCAGCTAAAATCTAAGTTCCAAACAGCAAAAGAAATGTGCTTATTTTTGGGTGCGGATGATAAAATGTGGATGACTGCATGCATCCTCACATCTTAGGAGAAGAAACAGGAGACCAGGGCTGGGTGTTAGCTTTCAAACTTCATATAATAGAGGGCTTGCATACAGAAGATGACACTGGAAAACCACAGCGTGATTTGTTGTTTCACTAATTAGGTCAACAATACCAAACATAGCGAGAGAACTTCCCGGCATCAGTGTGTCAAGGAAAGGCTTTATTCATCCGAGTGGCTTCCCTCTAGGCACAAAAAGAGAAAGAGCCAGTGTGTTTACAGGATCGTGTGCAGCACAGGCAGCGTGGCAGCGTACAAAGCGGCGAGCTGTGCTGCCCGGTCCCGATACCCTAGGTCTCAAAGGGAGAGCGGTGAACGGCAACAGCCTGAGTGCCGTAGCCAGCCCGGGGGAAAAGGAGCCACGGCAGCAGGAGTAAGGGCATTGCCCCACGTGGAGATGTTCATGCTTTTCTTTCTCTCTCTTCTTTTTTCCCATACAGAAGCCGGGGATGGATGTTGCCGATGCCTATGTGACATTTGTTCGCCACTCTCAGGATGTGCTGCGTGATAAGGTCAATGAGGAGATGTATATAGAAAGGTTATTTGATGTAAGTAAATGCCTTCTCCTCCTTGGAAACCAAGCAGGAGACCCCCCAAAATGTGACAAAATAAGACAGGAGGATAAGTCACATTTTGAGACAATGGATTGGTTATAGATTTTTTTTTCAAAAAATCTTTCCTTTCCCTCTGACTCAGGCTCTTATCTGCTGTCTGCCTACTCTAAATCTATACTTTGGTCTACCGTGTCCTGGTCTTTATGTGTGTGGTTTTCAGGGTAACGGCGTCTTCTCAGCCACCACTTTAATATGTCCAGCTTGTGAGAAACCTTTCTGTAACAGGAGCATCTCGGTCATTGTTCTCCTCCTTAAAAACCCCAGCCAGTTTTTGGGCAGAGGTGTGAGGCTACCTTCCTCCCATGCTACTTAATGGTTTCTGCCTGCCCAGCCCTCTGAGCCTGCATGTGACTTTGCCGGGCTACATTTTTATATTGAAAAAAAATAACCCAAAACCCAGCTAGAAAAAAAAAAATCTGTAGTTTTAGACTTCAGAAAGGACCCTACCAGGGTGTCAAACCCCAGGTCCAGAGGGGGGAAAGGAATGGTAGTGCAACTCGGGCAGATCCAGATTTCCAGAGTTATTTGTCGGCTGCACCCCTTTCGTTCACCCAACGTCCCCAAAAACACTGACCGGGATGCCCGGTGGTCTGTATTTGTTTTAAATCTGAATGCATGCCCAAGGATTTATCTGTTTCTGTTGCTTCTGTCGTGTGACACACTTTCTGTCCTTGTAGCTATTGTATAGTGAAGGTTTTCTGTTGAAGGCAAGCACTTCACACAAGTGCTTCAGTCTCTTATAGGATGTTTCTTTATATATTGATTTCTGTGTGAAGCAGTTTACATTCAGACTTTCTTTTCTTTCACCTCTCTGCAACATCATTTTTCAGTCTTCTAGCTCTAGAATTACAATAACCTTATATGCTTTGTTTACTTGCTCATTTGCTTCCACAGCGTATAAGGAAGCCTTCCTCCCCCCCCCCAAACTCCTCCTTTATTCAATATCCTTCTTTCTTTCCTCGCATTCCCTTTCCCTTAGAAACCTCTTCTTACTTTATAATTCCCACTCTTTCTTTCACTGATATCCTATCAGATTAAAATGGAACTTATCTCTCATGTCAAATGTTTTATCACATTATATCAAGTGGCATGAATTAGAGTCAAATAATCTTCCTGTGTACATCTACTAGCATGACCCATATCCACTGAGAATGCCTCATTCATGCATAAAGCACACTAGTGACTTCTTAATGCTCTATGCACGCTCACTCTTCAGAGAGTTTTAAGCACAGAATGCCAGATATAAATCACCCATCCGATGGGCATTGAAAAAAACGCAGCAGCCGGTTCCCTCCCCGCAGCAGGTCTGCGAGTGCCCTGCCCCTCGGCGCTGAATTTTATTCCAGGGGCAGTCACATTTTCAGAGATCGTCTGGACTGTTCTTTTCAATGCCTAAGTTGCCTTTTCTTCAACCAGTTTCCCAAGATCCGCAGCTGGTGTGTCTTGAGTGCAGTCGGTGTGTGTACTGCCGTCGGTGTGCTTTCAGCCTTCTGCATCATTCTCTCCAACTTCAGGACGTGTGTCATTGCAACGTGGGGGTTTTTTTTTTTTTCAGTTTGACCCAGTCGCATTCAGGTTTGTTGTATTGTATTTGTGTTATGCTAACGATTAAAAAACAAAAAACAAAACAAAACAAAAAAAGGCAGGAGCACCTGGGTGAAAGGTGAAAGCACGGGATGGCCTTCGTCCTGCCCCCTTGCTTTTCATGAATTGGCGTTTGCTAGTCCAGCAGGCCGATAAGCGTGGTTGATCTTTCTCAGTAATGACAAACCTTAGCATTTTCACACTGGGGCATAAACATTGCTGCGTGCAGTCAGCAGCGGCATGATGGGAAAGCAGTTTGTTCTGTGTTCTGGTACTGCGGCCATCCGATTTGGGGACTGCATCCTGATGGCCCTCTTCACATGCATCTCAGTCAGATGAGTCTCCTGAGGAAGCTGAGCAGGATTGGGCTTTTGGTTTACACGGAGTAGAGTTCAAACGGGCCAACTCCCAGGTGCCTGCAGCGGGCAGGCTGACTTCTTCCTGAGATGAAAATGGTTTGTGGAGGAAGCCAGCGATCCTCAAGTTCAGCTGGCACTGCAGAGATAAGGTGCTGGCTGCACCAAGTGATTTAGCAGCAAAAGAGCTACTAAATTGGCCACCCATAATGCCAAGCATGGTGGCAGCTGATGGGCGCAAGCATGCAGCGTGCCCAGAGGGGAAGGTTTTAAGACTCAGGCCCCTGAATAGTCATTCCCAGGAGAGTCTACAAAACGGGGTGTTCCCTGGCTGGCAGTGCTGCATCCACTGATAAATATTTTGGATTGTCTGAGCCTGTTTTCCTAAATATAGTGCCCGGGCCTGCTCCCCTATCCTTCTGTGGTGAGTACCCACAGATTTCCATAACAGCAGGATCAGCCCGGTGGTATTATATATTTTCTTACAGGTGTTTGGGTCTAGGTTGTGATCTGGGGCACAAATGTGCAGCCAGAGGCAAACTCAGGCTGCCTTTCTCCCTGGAGTTGGTGCAGAGCGTGTCTGCGCGTCAGGCTTGACGTATTCATCCATCTGCGTCACGCAGCTAAGCATGGCAGCCTTTACCTTCTGCACTGATCCCAGGGCAGATTTCTGTAGGCCTGAGCCAGTGGGTCACGAGCAGGGTGTGCGGCTCCAGGAGCTACAGCTTTAAGAAAGCAGGAACCCAAGTCATGCAAAATTACATTTATAAATATTTAGGAAGGGCTGATATTGCTGTTCTTTGTGTGTCAAGTGTGGCTCTGTCGGGATTCACCAAGCCAAGGGAGTTCGGAGTCTGACCCGGGACGTTTTCTCTGGGGCAGGCTGACATTGCTCCATCGGCTGAAATGCAGCAATGCCAACTTACCTCCGTGAACTGTCTGACCCTCCCTGTTGAGTCTGTCACTGGAATCCCTCTGCCATGAATCGCTGCCTTCCCTGCGGCAGACACGCAAGCCCCCGAAACTCGTGAGGGCTGCGCGACTGGCGCTAGGAAAGGAGAGCTAGACCCTGTTCCCCTGCGAGTTATTGAAACTCAGATTGACTTGATGGGAGCTAGATCAGGCCCATTAAGTTGGTCTGTTATCTGCTCTGTGTCATTTGTAGCTTCCTGTGGTCTCCAGTCCAGCCTTCCAGCATGCTCCTTTGGCTCTTCCCATTTATTTGTCCTCTTTAGAAAATGCCAGGTGCCGCTAGTTGTACCACGGACCTGAAAATATTTGAGGTGGTCCTTTAGGATTTGCTACCTCCTTCATCCACCCTGTCACCTTGCTGAGTGTTTGTCCAGCCAGCTCCTGCCTAGGGAACTGTATTCTGTGGCAGACACTGTTGCTTGCAGATTATCTTCGTGTCGTTCTGTGGTTTATGTTTTAATCTCCTTTATTCTGTAAATTAGTCAGGAATTTCCCTGAAATCAAGTCATCATCTTAATTTTTGAAATCTGTTCTCTCTGGGTCACTGAGAGGAACAGATTGACTGTAAAGTTCTTCCAGTAATCAGAAGCTAACTAGCTTTTTTGTGGTGCTTCAGTCTGACGTCTTACTGATTTGGCCTGTCGTGCTAAATTAATGACATGATTGTCCAGCTAAGATGCTGTAATCAGGCCCATTGGGACAGGCAGCTAGGAAGAAGAGGAGGTAAGAAGACCTCCGTGGCGTGCTTTCGTGCTCCGGGTGGATGTGCCTATCTGTGCATGTTCACGTGGTTTGAAAAATGGTGATCCATTGGAAAAAGAGGGATTACAAGCTTGTTTCCATGGTGGATGAAAAGCAGCTGTTTGCAGCTCTCTCTCAGAAGGATGATCTTTTGACACGTTTGATCATTTAACACCAGTAGCGTAGGTTGCTTGCTATCAGGCCAGCTGGGAATAGGGGAAAAAATACCGTGAGATTGATCTTGCAGTCCTCCGGGCAACTCCTGCCAAGTTTTGAGCCCTCTTCACTCAGGGCACTCTGTGGTTTTCAGGACTCCGGTTTACAAAGCCCAAATTCCCTCTGGGGCATTTGGCCAGCAGGGACCAGGCCTCAGAATGACAGTTTTGTACAGCATCAGCCATACCTGCCGTATGTGTGGTTTCAGCCAGTAAAAACCGATGTGACTGGAAAACTATGTGGTGGGCTGGGAGGATATGCTCTATACTGGCCTAAATTTTGTCCAAGCAGCAAAACATTGAGGTAAAACGCATGCAGTCACCGGAGGATACAAAAGGCTAATGCAGGTAGAGAAATCAACTGTGAATTTCAGGATGCTGATGCAGACCTCCGGCATCCCTAAAGAGCGCAGATGGCATTTTTCTCTCTGATGATTAATTCAGTATCTTACCGAAAAAAAACAAAAACCTACTTTTGATATGAGAGATCAAAACATCTAGAGAAGCTCCTAAGATTGCAAGACCTGAACAGAAATTAATTTATTTTTTTTCTTCCTTGTACTTCTTGAAGACACCAGCCTGAGTAGAAGATAAGGATTAAAACAGATGTGCTTAGTGCTAGTTCATCTGCTTAAATCTAGCAGCATCTCAGAGCAGTGATTAAAAAGCCATCTCTGACTTTGATGAAATCCACTGCCATGATAATATTGTGTCCCTGATAGCCTTCTTATGGGCCTCCTGTCCGCCTAAACCGGACATGGGCATGGAGATGATATATGGATTATCTGGGTCAATTATACACTTAATCTGCCTTCTAGGGATTAAACGTGCATAGATTGACTCTGCGTATTTGGCTTGTCCTTGGCAGTTATCAGATCAGTAAGGTTGCCCTTACCAAAAAATCTGGTAAGAACTTAATCATGCAGTGATACGGGCCCAGCAAGGCAGGAGTAGTTACAGTGCTCGGTGCCTTGTGCAGAAGGCTTGACTTACCACTTCACTGTCACCATGTACACGGCACTTGGAGATGGGGGTCAGGACAGGGCTGGGGGCAGGTCCACGACAG